TCAAAGAACGGCGGCGGGGACACAGCCCTGTTTGACAATGGAAAACCGGAGCTTCCCAGCCCAGACTGTCTAATTGGCACATTAGGATTCAAGGGTTCGAGCTATGGCCCAGGCTCTTGAGAAATACCGGTTGATTGATACCAAGAGTACAATACTTGGCTCTTAGGAAAATCCAGGTCTATTTTAGATCCATAAGCTCTTTAAAAGTCTTTATCATCCTGCCTTACTGAAAAAAAATTACATTTCTACATGGGCACACCCAGGATAATGCTCTTCGTTGAACAGGCTGCCTGGGGCCCCACAGGGTCGTGAGGGGCCAGGCTGCGGGCCTCTGGGACAAGGAGGCTAATGTCAAAGGTTAAACTGTGCCCCCCTGAGGAGGGGCCTCGTGCCCGACAGCAGGACAGCGTGAGCTTCACTTTGGGGAACCAGCGGGGAAGACGGAGCCGAGCTTGGCGCCCCGTCAGGGCGGAGCCGGCATGGGGCTGGGAACGGGGCTCCTGGAGGCTCGCCCTGCCCCAGCCCCCAGCTCCCGACACTGCGGGCGTGGGCGCTCACTGACACCCCCAGCGCCGCCGGCCCTCGCAGGGTTCCCGGCATCAATGCGCTAGCGTGGTGGGACTCCTTTCATGACACGTTTTAAAAGCAACGAACCACTTCAAAAGTTAACACTTACGATGCAGTAGACATTACACCTGTTGCCACCGTGGGGACTCACGATGGGGCTTTGCAGGTGTCAGTTAAAAACACGAGGCTGCGTGGCTGCGCAAAGCCATCGGGGGTGCGTAGGGTAAGCGCTGTTGGCGCACCTCCGGCAGGTTTGCTTCCCCGGCGTGGAGCGCCCGGCCTGCGGCTGCCTCGGCACTCCCTGTTTCCCGGGGCCCAGAACGCAGGGAGGTAAATCCAGGCAGGCTGAGGGCAACTGCGAGCATTTCTCGTTGGCTGTGAATGGCCTGTGGCCGCCCTAGGCGTCCGTGCGGGACGAGGAAGAATTCTGTCTTTGACACGTCTGGGCCATATGCACAGGCCCAAGCTGACTTTTGGGAAGTCATCTTTTGTAATGACCAGTGAGTAAGCGATGCCATAGGATAGCAGACCCATCCTTTGTGTTTAATAAAATGAAAGAAAAATAAATGAAGCCATTGCAAAGTACGTGGAAGAAATTTATCCTTAGTGCTTGAGATGTTCTTCAGTGACTTTGTAAAAGAAAAACTCCGTGGAAATAGTCCTGGACTGAAAATGAGTGAGCTCAGCTTGAGGAATTAGTAGCCTCAAGTTAGCACGTTCTCCTTCATGTTTGACCTGGGGCGTTCTCCCGCGTTCTCGTCTGTAACGGGTGCAGTGGCGTTTGACCCACGGGCGATGTACTTCGGGCGGAGGGGTGGGGTGGGGGGCGGGGCGCGGCTGACGCTCCTGACTCAGGCTCCGTGGCTCTTCACTTGGAAGAGAATTTCACCAGGAGCTCCTATGAGGCTGCTGCGAAGGGCAAATTCAGTGTGGTTTTTCACAGTTGCAAATAAAAGCATGCAATGGTAACTTTTTAGTCCAAAAAGGTTGCTCACGCCTTGAGAGAAGCCACCGTGGCCACACATTAATTAGCTCAAAAGTGATGCCTTCCACTTTTAAGGTCGACAGAAATCGCAGGAAGGGTAGAAGTGGCGCTGTGCTCCATTTCAGAGTCACAGCAAGTCACCAGTCGACGGTCCCAAGAATGGGGACGCCCTGCGTGTTGACTGGGAATTTCAAAGGACGGTGGAAGTCCAGCTCCACAAGGGAGTTTGGAGCCTCTCAGAACCGCCTTGCTTGCTTTGCTAAAAAAGGAAGTCCTGTTCGCAGTTCCGAGGAGGGCACGGACCAGAACGTGGGGTCTGGACTCTTGCCTGTCCCCTGCGGGGCCGGGCGGGGGTCCCGGCCCCACTGGCTTCAAGGGCGCCCCTGGGGCGGAGGGTGGGAACTGGGGCACAGGAGGGCCTAGAGGCAGGGCCAGGCCCCTGCAGCGTCGTCTCACTCAGCAGTTGTCGACACACGTCCTCGCGCGTGGGGTTAACAACAGGGACCAGCCCAAAGGAGGAACGGTAATGAGGGGACGGTGGGGGGACGGGGCGGGGCCTGACCAGAGCTGAGGGCAGAAAGAAAGGCTCACCGCAGGGGCTGCTGGGCGCCGCCCGGGTCTCGCTCCTGCCTCCGGGCCCGCCGTCCTTGTCGGCCGCCCCACGGGCGAGTCCGGACGTTCGTTGCTCGCACAGGTCCTGAGCCCTGAACGCGCTGCCCCGCCCCTCGCAGGCTTCCGCGCCCTCCCCCCGGGTGTACCCGGTGCCCTTGGCCGCTGTCCCCGCACCGGCTCCCTGCCCCCTGGGGTGTGTGCGCACGTGTCCTTTCGTGCCTGGGGGCTGCCTCACTCCTCTCAGGCGCGCTCCGCCCAGCCCAGGCACCCGGGGGGCCCGGCGGAGCAGCTGTCCAGTGGGCTCAAGGGCGGCGCCCCCCGGCCCTCGGGAAGGTTACCCGTGAGAAACGGGCCTCACCGGGGTGAGGGGGGACTCTGGCCTCCGCTCTCTTCATTGCACGTGTAAAGCGGTTTAGCGCGTGCACGCGGCACATCGGCTCCTCCCGCCTCCCTGGCTGTGGGTTTGCCGAGGGCTCGGTTCGGAGCTGCGGCCCTCGCCCGGCGTTTGTTTGTTCCCGTGGCCTCAGAACTTCTCAGGAGTAGGAAGCAAGCCCTGAGGACGAGCACTCTCGTTGCTGTGAGTGGTCGGAAACAGGGCGGGGCGGGCCTGGAACCCCCACGGCAGCTGCAGATGCATCCCGAGTGTTGGCCGGAGGTGTGTCCGGAAAAGCTGGCTACAGGTTCCTAATGTCCCCGAGGGGCCACTGAGAGTCCTACCTCACTCCTGAGTGACAACTGCTGGAGGGGCCGTACAGAGCGGGGCCAGGCCACGCCTCCCTCTGAGCAGCCACCGCTCTCCCTGTGCAGACACCCCTGCGGGGCATCGCTACAGGCCTGGGACTGTCCGTCCTTGCATGTCTGTCTGCCCCTCACACACTGCGAGTCGCCACACAGCTGAGGCTCTCGATTGGAGCTCTGTGTCCCCAGGTTCAGCCGCGGGGCCCTCCCCTGGGGGCGCCCACCCGGAGTGGGGGCGGCCAGGGCCGCTGCGCGGTGCTTTGGAGTCATGTTCCGGCCCCGCCACCCCCTCTCCTGGGCAAGGCTGAGATGGACCCCGGACAGCCGTCCACTGCTCCTGACTCAGGTCCCCGCGACCTGAGGCTCGTCCACACTACATGGGAGAAAGCGTTCCTTTAGTTGACCTACTTGTTCAGGGACAGTGACGGCAGAGGGCAGGGGACAAGGGTCTGCGTGGCTGTCTGGGCAGCGGGTGACAGCGGGCGGGGCAGGGAGCAGCTCCGAGTGGAGACCACAGGGTGACGTCCAGGGGCTGAGCCCCAGGCTGCGTGGCGGAGCGGCAGGCCACCCTCTGAGGCGTGACAGCTTATCAGCAAACCATTGTCAGGACAGTCCGGCTGCATTCACTCGCTGGCAGTGTTTCTTCTCCTCTCTGCCCTCTAATTAAGGTCCCGCAACAAAAGCCAGGAAGGAAGCTGGGAGAGAGAGGCCGTTGGCGGGAGGCGGTCACGGCGCCGGGACACATCGCCTTGTGCGCGCGGGCCTCTCAGAACAGCCCTCCTTTGTGTGCCGGGCTTTCCTGGGAGCTTCTGTGAAATGTCTGTCTTTGAAATGTCTGCTCTTTCCTTTATTTCATTGTTCGGGATCTCAAATACACCAGCCCCAGCAGGAACGCTCTCCCCGGTGCCTTTTTTTGTTGTTTTTTGTTAATTCTGTGTGGCCCGCCCGCTGTCCAGGTAAAATGATGGCCACACTGAGTGCGATGTCGATGCCCCTGGAGCGGTGTCCCCGGACTCTCAGCGCCCGACAGCGTGGGGTGCGCACCGGGCGTGCCGTGGCCTGGCGTCATCGCAGGCCTTCCTTCCTTTGAGGGGAGGAGAGATTTTTCAGCCACGCACACTGAAACCACAGCGTAGCAAGGCCCTGGTTCCTGGACCACCCAGAACAGTGCGTGCGCACATCACACGCCTCGAGGTGTCCTCATTTAAAACCTGTCTCTACATCCCATTAAAAACAAACAGCTCGGGTGCAGAGCCGGCTCCGGGTTGTGCGCACCTGTCGTTCCAGCGTCGGCCTCAGCACGCGTTTCCTCTCCACACGTAGATTTTGCAAAACCTGGAAGCTTGGTAAGAAAGGGAACAGTAGCCTCGCTCTCCCGGACGCGTTTTCAGATGGCCTGGTCGGTGCGCGTCCCCGCGGGGGGAAGGGGACTTTGACAAGGAGCTGCAGCCCCTGCACATCGCCCCTCCCGCAGCGGGGACTCCCTCCGCCCCCGGGGCCTCACCGCCTCAGCCCAGGGCGCTGTGGTCCTGATTTTTTTTTAACTGGACGTGGAGGGTCCCTCCCAAGATTGTCTCTTATTTAGACCAGAAGGTACTGGTTTGCATCAAAACATGAAGGGACAACCAGATGCTGACGAAGGCCGTGTCATTATTATTTCAGGCCAAAGTTCGAACGCCCCTGTGGAATATTTGTCACACGGTTCCCAAACAGTACTATTAATGTCTAAATTTGTTAAGATTTTTTTAAAAACCCTACTGTTGAAAGAAAAGAACTCATTTTAAAACAGCTTCAGCGAAGCCAAGGGTCAGCCTGGAAACCAGCCCTTCCCCAGGCCATGGTCTGAACTGTCAGGTGTGTGTCCACCACCCGGACGGGACCAAAGGCCGATTCCAAACACGGTGATCTTTGAGGGGCTACTTGCTCCCAGCCATACAGAGGCCCAGGGCTCCCCCAAGCTGAAGTAGTTCTGGAGGAAGCTGTGTATTTGAATTCCTTCATTCCTAGCACCCCAACCCCCAAGTTTCCGTGAGCCGGGCGGGCCAGGGCCGCGGGCGCGCAGGTGCCAGCTGACGCCTCCTTGCCGTGTTCCGTGCAGTGAGCCCGCCCCTGGGGCCCGGCGGGCCCGGCAGCGCGGACGGGGCCCCGCTGGCGCCCTCGGAGGCCGAGGAGACGGTGTCCGTCGGCAGCTGCTTTGCCTCAGAGGACACGACGGAGGACTCGGGCGTGGTGAGCTCCCCCTCGGACATCGTCTCCCTGGACTCCCAGCACGACAGCACCAAGTCCAGGGAGAAATGGGCCGCCGACCAGGAGGCCTGCAGCGACCAGGACCTGGCCGGACCCCCCGACCTGGGCCCCCTGAAGAGCCCGGCGTGGGAGAGAAACGGCTCGAGGTGCTGGCATTCGAGGTGAGTTGCGGGACAGCTGGGAAAGGGAGGCCCCCGCCGGCCTCCGGGGCGGGGGTTGGCCCTCCATGGGGACGTGGGCGTGCTCTTCCTCGGTGGGCTCTTCCTCGGTGTGCGGGCATTGACCGATAGCGGGGAGCAATGCCGTGTGTGTGTGCGCCTTCTCCACGTGGCACCCGGCACTGCGGCGCGTGTGTCTATTTTATGTTTTTTAATGAAGGGGCACATAGGTGGTCCGGGCTCCCACCACTGGAAGCGAGTGGTGCACATGTCCCTGTTTACACACAGGGAGCTTCCTGGAGGAGGAATTACTAGCCTCGCAGGAAAACGCGCGCTCGCCTTTGAGGATGACGTGGCCCGTGGACAGAGTGCTGTCCAGAAGGACCGTGCGGTTTGCGCGCCGGGCCGGGTCGCGCCGCATCTGCGCTGGCACGGGGGTGACAGTCAGGGGCCTTCCCCCTGGCCTTAGTTCCCGTTCCCTGGCTCGTGCGGACGGGCAGCTCGTCACACGGGTAGCAGCAGCTCAGTTCTCCTCTCCTGGGAGTGGCCTTTTCAGAGGCTTTGGCCTTCTTTAAAAATTGTGGTGTTCCTTGAGAAACAATCATTAATTTTCTCTTTTGTCAGTTATTACAGAGCGTCTCCGGGACTCTGGCTTGAATTTAACTTTTCGGTTGTTGTATAAAAATTGCTCTTTCATTTTAGTGTCGTGTTACATTCATCCTTTTTCTCCTGACGGTGCATGACCTTTGTGTGTGTAAGAGGCCCTTCTCATACCCTAAAAGACTAAAAGCTGTCTGGTCTCCTTGTAAGTGTTTAGTGTTGCCGGCTCACGCGTGGGCATCTGGTCTACCTGGGTTTCCCTCGGGGTGCAAAGGGAAAACGAAATCTGTTTCCTCCCCCTGACTCCTCGTCCCCCTTGGGTCGCAGGTCAAGCTTCCATATACGCATCTGTCTGTCCCGCGTGTCCTTTCCCATAGCCCCAGCTTACTCAGCCGTCTCTGTCACAGTTGTTTTTAACCTTTTAGAAAAAGCAGGTTAATTTTCTGTAGCCCATGAAGGTTTTTAACCTTTTAGGTAATTTTAAGAACCAATCACATAAAAGCATTGGCCCAAATAAAAGAGAACAGTAAAAAGTAATTCGTAAGTCGCTCGCCAGCGTGAATCAGTGCTGTTGTACTTTCAATATTTTGCTCCAGTTTTGTCCATCTGAACACAAATGTTCACCTGGTTAATGTAATGGTAGCATCAATAATATTGTATTTTGATGCACTTTTGCCTAACGGTTTATCCCAGGCAAGTCCCCAGTTTTTGACTGTGTGTCTTTCATACTCTAATAACTTTAACGTCCAGCTCTTCAGCCTTAAAGACAATTCCAAGGGCAACGTATTCCCTTAGGCAGGGAATGAGGAGGCGAGAGTGGGTCTGTTTCTTGTCCGTCCCCCAAGATGCGTGTAGCTGAGGTCGGCCCGTGCTGTCTGCCTCTGTGAGAGCAGAGAAATTACGGTGTTTCCTTCTAATAGTCCACTTACCACTTTCGCCACCATCTCGGGTCCCTTCTGTGCATTTGCATGGAGCTGCCCCCACCAAGCTCCACGTCTGAAACCAGGCAGACGTTTGTCACTGTGCCGGGGGTGGGGGGTGGCGGTTTTCGGAAAGCCCAGCTGATTTCTGTCGCAGTGTGAGAGTCCGCGCCACCTGCGGCCTCCGCCGGGACGAGAGTGGAGTCCCGGAAGCTGCTGCTTTACCAGACGGGGGGGCAGGGCGGGGTGTCCTGCCCTCGTCGCAGGTGCCCCTGAATGTGAGGTGCACGGGCGCACGGAGGGGCCCTGGACCCTCCCCTGCCGCCCGCAGTGGCATCCCGCCGCCACCACCGGCTCCTCATCGGGCCCCCGTGAGCCCACCCAACCGGCCGAGCCTTGCGCGGGGCTTGTGCGCGCGCAGATACGCCGCCCACCTGTCCGAGGGGCGCGGAGCCCGTGAGCCCCTCCGCTGTGCATGGGGCTCCGTTGTCACTGTTACTACTGTTAGGAAAGGGAGCACAGTGAACATCTAAGGCAGGTCACTTTCCTCCTCGGGGCCAGCCCCGCTGTCCGGGGCGGGGTCGCGGCCTCTGAGCCCCCAGCTGGTCTGTGCTGTTCCGTTCTCTGCCCAGAGCAGGGACCGACTCTCTGCCCTGATTTCCCGTGGAATGGCCGTGGCGTATTTTCACAGGAGTTTCTCCACTGACAAATCAGAGGTACTCGGAGGCTTCGCCAAGGCGTGTCACGCACGTGCGTCCCGTGCCTGATTTTCAGTGACACTCAGAATGCCTTAAGACAGAGCCGACAGTGGGAAGTCGGGGTGCAAGCTCAGAGGGAGGCACAGAGACGGCTGCGCAGTGCACGCGCCCTCCCCCCTCCTCAGTTATAGGGGCCCCGAGGGACCCCAGACCCAGAGAAGCCAGAAACCTCGGTGTTGACTGGGGTTCCCTAAACTGTAACTGTGGCCGCCACGCGACCATTTGGGTCCAAATGAAGCACACCTGTGTGCCAGACGCGTCCTGCCCCACACGTGCGCCCTGTGGGGCGCGAGAGGGTACCAGGCCCCGTATTTTCCAGCTACAGTGTCGTCGCCGTGGCGCGGGCATTCCCTGGGACACGGCTCTGGAAAACACCGCTTCACGAGTGAACCTGGGAGGCCACTGCATCTTCCTCTCGGGAAACAGTAAAGCCTCTTACAGACGCTGCAGCCGAGAGGCTGGAGCCGCTCAGCACCGGCCAGAGCCCCCGGCGCGGGCCTCGGGAGCTGTCCAGCGCTGGGCCGGGGAGCTGTCCAGCGCTGGGCCGCGGCGCGCGCCTGCCAGGCTCAGGTGAGCCTCAGCACCGCAGGCCGTCCCCGGGGGCCCAGGCCGCTCAGCGGGCCAGTCCCCTGCTGGGGGCCGGCAGCCCGGAATCAAGCTGCCGTAGCATGAGGACAGCGCTCCGCCCTGCCCGCGGAGGGAGGCCTTGGCCCTGACCCGTGGACAGAAGACCCTGTCGGGACCCTGCCCGGGAGCCCCGCCTGCAGGGAGCAGCAGCGGTGGCCGAGAGACACGCACGAAGGACACGCTTGCCGACGCCCTGCCCTCCCGGGGCAGGGCAGGCTGGGAGAGCCACGGTCTGGCAGCATCGTCACCCAGAGATGCTCTGCATGCACCCCTGAAACGGGTCCACCAAAACCACGTCTATGCGGCCACGCGCGGGGGACAGACCACGGTACCAGTGCCGGGCGCTGGTCCCTTCTGCCGCCGCCTGGCCTGCCCTGCATGGTCCTCCCACCTGGTTTCCTCAGCTAATCCTCACACAGCCATTCACGCCCCAGAAGACATGTCCTTCCTGCGGTGACAATGCCGGGCCTGGCGGTGACCGTGACGCCTCTCCATCCTCGGCCGATGCCGGGCCTTAGAGGCTTGGGCGAAGCGGAAGTCCCCCTCTGCCGTGACTGGCAAGGCCGGGCCTCTCCGGGGATTCTGAGCGGCGGCGGAGCTGTCCCCAGCAGTCTCAGTCCCCGCAGCTGCGGACTCCACTGTGCGGCCAGGCCCCGTAAACTAGGGAGTGTCCCTGGTGGGCTGGGCCTGAGGGCCCGATCCTCTTGCCACCTTGCTGGCCCTCGGCACCTCACTGAGTACTGCTGGGGACAGAGTAAGACCCTCTGTGGCCTGAGAAGACCCACGTTTGGAAGGTCTACACGGCAAAGTGCCTGTGTGGGGGGGGGGTGTTTCTCCTTTCTCCGCACCCTGCAGGTGCAAAGGCGTGTGGACTTCTTTGGCTAGGACGGCCGGGGGTGGCAGGGTGACAAGTTGAAGGCCAGTAGGCTCTCCTCCAGAGCCCCTCCCTGCTCAGCGGAAAGCGCCCTTCCTCGCCTCAGGCCGAGCGCCCGGCTGCTGTCCCGCTCACAAGCTGTAGAGGGCGCTCCCTCCTTCGGGGCTGCTGCCCCACCGGTGGCTGCAGGGGTGCCACCGGGCGGTGCGGGGAAAGGGGTATGTGGGCTTCGGGCTCCGTCTTGAGCAGCTGGTCCCACTGAGATCGTGCAGAGCCACCGCGGAAGACACAGGTAGGGCCTCTCCCGGCGGCGGCACCTCCCTGAATTGCCCCCTGCCCCCCTCCACCTGGAAACCCCTGAAGTTCCCTCTCGGCCCCGCCCGTCGGGGAGCGGTGGGCGCGATGGCAGCGCGCGAGAAGCTGTTGTCACCTTCAGGGCCAGGGTCCCCAGGCGTAGTCCGAGCCCTGGCCATTTGTGCCCGTAGGAGCTCCGCCCTGGGGACGTTCAGAAACGTGATACACCCTCCAGAGCCCTGGGGCTGTGTAACTAGGGATTTGGGCCCATGGGGACATTTACAAACATTCTAACACCTTTGAAGACCCTCAAACCGTGTAACTACGTTTACCAAAAAGAAAAGGAAAAAAACCCCAAACATTTAAGACCCAGGAGAACTACGCTGTTCAGGACAATAGCCAGTAGCCACATCTGGCGGCGACCACTTGGCAAGCGGCGGGCCCAAAGTAAGATGTGCCGTGAGCGTAACGCATGCTCCAAATTCGGCCTGGGAAAAAAGAGTGATTTTATAGTAATTACACGTAGAAATGATGAAAATAATTTGGGTTAAAATTGAGTAAAACAAAGTACACTAATTAAGGTTAAATAAGGTATTTAACTGAAGCCAACATCGCCTTCCCCTTTCACCTCTGTCAGAGGGACGCTGAGAGACCTAAGACTGAGTGGGCGGCTCCTGTCACATCTGCCCGGGGCAGGCGGCCCGGGGACTCCGGGGCTTTGCAAACACGGGACGTTTGCGGACGGAACGGCAGGCGAAGCGGAAGGGGCTGGGATCAGCTGTGCCTTCTCCCAGGCTTCTTGCCTTTAGTTTATCAAGCAATTGTTTTGAAACCTTCTGGGTTGGTTTGGGTGTCATTTGCGAGTTGTGTTGCCACTTGGAAGGGACATCTTTTCCTCTCCAGCTCTTTTTCTTCCCTGTGAATTTGCCGCTGGATAAATCATGTACGGAAACTCTTCCGGCCACATCAGAGTGGAGAACGCCCGAATGGGCCAGCGTGAGCCCAGGCTCTTTCTTCCTTTTTTGTTTTTTTCCTTTCTCATATAAAATGAAACCAACCCGAACCACAAAGCACCTATTTTTCCCGGCGCTGAGTGGCCCGGCGGCCCCTAGTTCTCATTCCAGACCGGTGCCCCGGGGCCCCCACCCGCCCCGCTGCCGCCTGCCCCGCGGGGAGCAGGCCCCCGGGCGGCGCCCCCGCCTGGGCAGACTCCGGCTGGAGGCCGCCGTGTCACCCTCCGCCCCTGCGTTCGCCGCGGCAGTGGCCCGGACATCGCCCTGCTCTCTGCAGGGTCACACCCCGTGTGAGAAAAGGCCGCTGGCGATGTTTATTCAACATGGGCAGCCGGAATCCAAACGTCTGGGCTCTGTTTGGTCTTTATTTTCTTGGTCCTAAGCCAAAGCAAACTGTCGCTGGGAACCGTATCTGCGGACCGGGGTGTGGGCCGGGCCAGGGAGCGGTACCTGGGAGAGGTGCTCCGTGGGGGCGCGCCCAGCAGAGGAGACGCCGGCGCGCTCACCAGCCGCGCGCTCCTTGGGGACTTGAACTCAGCCCGGCTGCCTGTCCAGGGCGTGCAGCCCTCTGCCCCGGGGACAGCGCGCATCACTCTGGTTTTGAGAGAGAGAAAGAGAGTTGTAGTCTGTTAGGAACCCTTGGGAGAAGTTGATGACGCTGGGGCGGGGGGGGGGGGGAGGAGGAGAAACCAATGTCGCTAAATCTCTCCCTTCTGGGATTTTATATCACAAAGCAAAACAGAGACTTTGCCACTGGCTTTGGATTTGCCAGATAATCCATTCATGCCGAAGTCCAGGGCCTGGGCACGCGGCCTGGCGTGACCTCAGGAAGCGCCAGCTGCAGTAGCCCAGCACCTCCCTGCCCAGAGACTGACGGGCTCAGCAGCCGCCGAGGACCGCCAGCCCTGGCCGGCCCTCCTGCCCGCCGCTCCGAGCCCGGGGGCCCTTGCCCCTTGGCAAGAAAAGAATTATCTTTCATTAGAGGACCAAAGGGTTATTTAAAATGTTTCCCATTTAAAAAAAATTGTTTTATCACTTAAGCTGCATTGTACCAAAGGGAACACAATTCTTAAAAAAAAAAAAAAAAGACCATTCACAGTAATTCGCTACTTCACCAAACCCCACTGGCCGGCGGGCGTCTGGCTGGCGCCCTCGCCCTGCCCACAGGCGTGTTGTTCTCACTCCGCCACAGCCATCAGATGGACACGCAGGTGACCCTCGGGTGCCGGCCCCATGCAGGGGAAAATCCAAGTGCGCTTTCGGCTTCGGCTCTCCGAACACTTAGCTGGCCCTCAGCGTCTGCGGGGGACCTGCCCCAGAATGGACCCCTCCCCCGACAGATGCCACCATCCAAAGACACTGGCGTTTCCGACATAAAATGGTGGAGAGCAGTTCATCCAGGCAGCCCCCCGCGTCTGCGGGCTCCCGCCTGCAAATCAGAAGTATCGATTTCTTTCATCCCTGGTTGGCTGGGTCCGCAGGTAGGAGGTCTCGGAACATGATGGGCCGGCTGTATATGTACTGATAGAAGCGGGCGCAAACGTGGACCTGCGCACTTCACACCCGTGCCGGGCAGGGCCAACTAGGCCTGTCGTGATGTCTTCACGGAGCATCGGTCGGCATTCCGACGCGGACGTCGTGACCGCCATGCTGACCGAGGCTCGCGCCCTGTGAGGCCGGCGCTCGGCGGTTCAGCTCGCTCCCAGCTGTGGCCCGTGCGGAGTTCTTCCCGTGAATACGATGAACGGTGCCGTGTTCATGCATTCCCTCCTCCGGGGTTATTTTCTGAAGGGAAATTGCCAAAACAGAGACAGACTGATGAACCGAAGTTCTTACAGAGTGCAATTGATGCTTGTGTTTCTGAGGGACATTTCCACATCGCTTTCCGGTTAAACCGGTAGCAACCGGTGGGTGTCTGAGTCACCTCCTTTCCTCGGCCCACCATGATTTGTCCTCTGCAGCCTAACGTTTATGAAACGATAGCACCATCCGCGGAATTTTTATCTGGAGCGCGTTTTTATTTCTATTCCTATCCGTCTGTTCTCAGCGAGCGATGTGGTTTTGCATAGTTCCAAGGAAAGCCAAACACTCTGGAGTAAAAATACGGACATGATTTTGCCCGGCTGGGCTTTCCGCGCCGTAAACCAAGAGCCGGCGTGGAAAGTGCCGTTTTCCCAGGCGAGTGCCATCGTATGCGGCGCTGCCCCTCTTCCCAGGCCATGGACATTATTAAGTGTTTGAGTTAAACTTACCGAAGCCGTCCCGTTCCATGAAAGAGAAAAGCACGGCTTTAGTAAAATGCATTGAAATAATTAAAGTCCAAGGCCGAAGCCGCAGGACGGACGGCCTGGGCTTCCTACGGTCCTTATTAATTGGTCCGCCTGCACACACATCTCCCACCAGCCCCTTTGTCTGGCCTGTCAGAAAACATTAACCGAGAGGGATCTGGAACCACTTCCTGGCTCCCAAAGGACACGGTGGCCAAGGAAGAAAGACTCATGGATCAGAACACACACTTTGCTGCGTGAGGCCCTTCACGCGTCGTTCTCTGGGTCCGCTGCGCAGTGCGGGACCCCGGGCCTCCGTTCTGACGACCAGCGGGGAAGGCCGTCGGCTTCCCCGGACACTGACATTTGCTGTGTGTCTCCGTTCTTCGTGCAGCAGGAACCTGGAGACACATGTCCCTGCAAAGGCCACCCTCTAATTGCTCTCGCAGAGGCTGTCTCGTGGATGCCCCAGTGAGCAATCAAGGTGAGGCCAGCTCCCCTGAGCCGGCGGGTGACGCCCTCCCAGGTGCCCTGGTGGCCGGGTCCACGTTGTGCCTGGGCGCCAGACCGGGCGGGTCCTCCCCCGGACTCAGGAGCCCCTGTGGCGTTGGGTAGGTCTGCTAGCCTCTCGGCACTGTCCCGTCTGTGAAGAGGCAGCCACGGGACTGCCTGCCTTACAAGTTACTGGCGAGAAGGAAAACAAGAGAACTGGCTCACCAGAGCTCAGCGGGGAGCCCGGCAAAGGGGCGGGGGGCGGGGGGTGCGCCAGGACGCGCAGTCGGCGCCGCCTCCTGCGGGTCTCGGGGAGGCCGTGGCGGGGCAGGAGGGGGTGGTTACTACTGTCACTGCTCTGTGATGTTTTGCTGTCATCGTCGTCGTGGTGGCCATGTTTGTTTCCTGCTAAAGAACCCGGGAAGCATGGCTTTGTGGGTGGCATACTCTGGCCCTCTGAGCCCTTGTCCCCTCTGTCCCCGGCCCAGGGTGCAAATTAAGCCAAAGTAAAAGTGCGGAGAGGGACACAGCGGGCCGCATGTCACCCTGCCGGGGGGAGCGCCACGGAGCCCATGCACCCGGCGACCCTCTGGCCTGCAGCCTCCACCCCAGGGGCTCCGGGACCTGAGGGAGCCACCGCTCGGGCTCAGGAACGGGCCGGCCGTAGGGCGCGCGGTGAGGAGGCCCTCCCTGGCCGCCGCGTGCCTCTGCGAGCCCGGCCTCCGGGCGGCCTCTCTCCCTGTTACCACCGACCCAGGCGGGACTGGGTGCCCCGCCGGCGGCGCCCACGAACAGGCAAGTCCCGTCGGCACAGCAGCCCATCCGTGCGGCGGCGGGTGGCACACCTGGGCGCTTGGACGTCAGAGCCGGGACGGTGTGGGAGCTGCTTACCCTGGGGGGCACGCACACGCGCTCCGTGTACACACACTACACACGTGCACACTGCTCATGCGCGCGCGCGCGCCCCACATGCCACATACCCTGTGCACCACGCGCCGCCCAAGTCTCTGCAGCCCCGGGGACCCCAGGGAGCGCAGAGCAGGATGAATCTGAACACAAGCTGTACCTCCCTTGGGTTATTTCTAGAAAAATGTGAATTAGCTGAGTCATAGGGACAGGAATGCTCTTGCTTTCTCTTTATTTTTATTTTTTAAATATTTTAATGATCTATTTCTAGAGAGGAGGGAAGGGAAGGAGAAAAAGAGAGGGAAACATCCCTGTGCGATTGCCTCTTGTGCGCCCCCTACTGGGGACCTGGCCCCCAACCCAGGCAGGTGCCCTGACTGGGAATCGAACCAGCAACCCTGTGGTTCGCAGGCCGGCGCTCAGTCCCCTGACCCACACCAGCAGGGCTTGCTTTCTCTTTGATCTTCCCTAGAATTGAAAAAACTGCTGCAGCGTCCGACGATGACAGGGACCTGTTCATTGCCCGGCGGTTCGAGCAGACCCCGGCCGAGCTGGACGAGGACCCGGAAGGTAAGTGGTGCCCCCGTGCGGGGACAGGACCCGTGCGGCAGGGACTCGGAGGCTGTTCCCCCGGCCACACTGCTGTGATGGCTCCACGGCAAAGCCTGGGCGGAGCCCGTGGGGGAGGGTACCTCTCCCCGTCGGCCCCGCCCCCGGGGTAGCCCAGCGGCAGCCTAACGCCTGCGCGAAGTAACCCTGGGTTTGCACATTGAAAGGTGTTCCACACGTGGTAAGGGAAACCGTTTCCCGGGGCCCAGGTGACTTAGGGAGACGCTGGGGAACCAGACGCACAGCTTCCATTGTTGAGAAATCTATTCAGTAATAATAGAACGGCTCCTGTCACCGCTGTCCTGGGGAGGTGTCTGGGGTGGTGCCACCAGGCCAAAGCAGACGCAAACAGTCTCAGTAGGCAGCTCGGAAATCTCTGAAGCAAAGGCACCAGGTGGAAATAAACCAGGCGTTGGCCTCACCTTAATACAGAACGCGGGGGAACAGGCCCTTTCTGTCCAACACGCTTGCCGCTTTCTGTCCTCGGACACGGCTGGCAGAGACGCGTCTGACTCCGCCATTCGGGGCCCGAGCTTTGCCCCGTGTCCTTCAGGGCACGTTCCGGGGGGCTCAGGAAGGGTCTGCCATTCACCCGCGAGATGTGAAGCCAGGGCCGGCGCCCGCGTGTTTGGTGGGGCCCGGGGCGAACAGGCGCAAGGCAAAGGCCAGCCCGGCGTTCAGACGTTTCCGGAGGCATGAGTTCGGAGCTCAGTTTTTAAGTGAAGGCTGTCAGCAAGATGGACCTAAACGCCTCCTCTTGAAGCATCGAGAATCCAGCCGGCCGCCCCTCCGTTGAGCAGGGAGGCTGGGACTCTGCCCCGCCCCTGCAAAGGTAGATGAGGAACTGAGAGGACACTTGGAAATGTACGCATGTCACAGAGACAGCAGGGAGCTAGGGAAGCCGAGCGTTGGCGCGGTGGCCGCAGGCGGTAGAGCGGCCGTCTGTGACTGTGCGTGCTTTCTTGCAGACATGGAGGACAGCTACGAGACCGACGCCAGCTCTCTGACCAGTTCCGTCGACGGCGGGCCAGGTCGAGGCACGCAGGGTGCCAGCGGCCCCGACATGGACCCTGAAGCCATCCCAGTGACGTTCATCGGGGAAGTAGACGATCCCGTGGAGCCGGGCTTGTTTTCCAACAGCAACAACAACGCCGGGTCTTTTGACAGAGGGCGAGTGGCCAGCAGGTCGGCCCACCCGCCGCCGGCCCCGGCGGGGCCCCCGCAGCGTGGAAGGAAGAGGGTGGACGAGCCAGACGCAGCCCCTCCTCCCCGCGACGCTGGGAAGGATGCCCGATGGGCCTCGGCCGACACCTGCAAAGGCGTGAGGCTCCTGAAAGCTGAGCCCAGGCTGGCTTCTGAGCTGCGGCGGCAGGAGCAGAGCCTGCAGGAGAGAGGCAGGGAGCACAGCTCTGCTCGCAGGGATGGGGCACCGTCCCTCAAGGCCCTGAGCTCCCTGCCATGGAAGGACAAGGACAGTGACGACGAGAAGGAGGTCTCCCCTCCTCTGTCATGGTGTCAGCGAGGCCAAAGCCCAGGGGGGAGCTTTGGACTTAAGTACGGCCTCACAACCTATAAAATTGTCCCTCCAAAGTCCGACAGGAGGTGCTACGACAGAGGAGTGTCGCTCTCCACGGGCGCCATCAAGATCGACGAGCTGGGGAACCTGGTGAGTCCCCACGTGAACGGGGGCAGGACCATGGCGCTGCCCCCACCTGCTCTTGAAAAAGACGCCCAGCCCCTGGGGGGCATCAGAGAGCTCCGGAGGCATGGGTCCGGCCCCCTGGAGAAGCGCTCTGGCCGGTCCCTGGGGAGCTCGGCCAGGGAGCCCCCCGCCCCCGCGGCTCCCGTGAAGGCTCCCCATCAGGACGGCAGAGGTGGAGCAGAGCTCAGCTCCCCGGACCCCACGGCGACATCGCCGCTGCAGCCGCCTGGCCCCCAGGGGGACGGCCGGCAGCTGCAAGAGGGGCGCAGCCGACCCACCTCGGCGGCCGCCTGTTCCGTGAAAGTGCCAGCAGCTCACGCCACCCAAGTCCCTTTTCTCAAGCCTCAGAGAAGGACGTCCAGTCAGTACGTGGCCTCGGCCATCGCCAAGCGGATAGGGCCCCCGCGAGCCCACGCTGAGGGGGCGAGGAAGCGTGACGAGGCGGAGAAGGCCTGGGAGGGTGGTGGGCGGGAGCGGAGCTGGCGGCCCCGTGCCACGGAAGATGCCGCCGCCCGCAGCCCACGCCTGGAGACACAGGAACGGGAAGAGGAGGTGAAGGCGCCCTGCAGCCGCCTTCCCAACGCCGGTGGGGAGGCATCGGCAGGAGGAGCCCAGCCTCAGGGGCCAGCCGGCAGCCCCCCTGGGAAGCGGCCTCCGCAGGGCCCGCCCACAGGGGCCCACAGAGGCACCTGCGTCCCGCGCGCCATGGCCGCGCAGAGGGCCTGGGATTCCGTGGCGCTGAGCTGCGGTGCGGTCGGAAAGCAGGGCCCTGGTGTCCACAGGACCAGCTCTGCGCCGGACCCCGAGCGCACGCCGGACGGCTCCACAGCCCCGCCCGGAGGCTCGGGAGATGCTCGCACCCCTGGCGGGTCCCTGGCTAATGGCTCCCGGTGGGTCCCCGACCCCGGCGAGCCCCCTCATGCCCCGAGGGCGCCCGGCACGAGCCGCCCCACCGCCCTCTGGCAGGAGGACAAGCCTGGTGTGCCATGCACGGATATTCAAGACCCTGACAGCACACTGCCACCCAGCATCTTTGGGCCAAAGAAGAAGTTCCGCCCTGTCGTCCAGCGGCCCGCGCCCAAGGACACGTGCCTGCACAGCGCCCTGATGGAGGCCATCCATGCGGCGGGAGGCAAGGACAGGCTGCGGAAGGTGAGCCCACGGGCGCCCCTGCCCGCACCTGCCAACCCAGGGGTGCTGGGGGAGGGTGGGGAGGACCCGAAGGAGGGGGCGCGCAGGATTCGGGGGAACCGAGCTTCTGTTGCACGGCACACGGAGCGGCTGCACGGAGCCAGGGCCGGCAGGACGCCGGTGGCGTGGGCGCGCGCACGCTGCCCCAGGGCTCCCCTGCCCGGGGGAGAGGGCGCCACGGACAGCCCCGGGGGCGGGAGGCGGGGCAGTGGGGGCAGACGGGCAGTCGGGCCGGGCCCCTGCGGCCCCGCGTCCCTCCACCGCGTCAGCCTCGAGCACGTTTCACTGCCGCACCGTGTAACGGTCCCTCCAAAACCAGAGGTGAGGCGTCACGTCAGGAGCGCCGCTCTCAGCAGGCACCTTGGAGGTGGACGAGCTGGGGGAGCCACTGCCTCCATGTTTAGATGAGGCCCCTGTGTCACGGCGAGGCCTGGTGACCGGGCACGAGGCCACGCTGCCAGGTAGTGGGGGCCCCGGACCCCCGCCCTGGCCTGCAGGCCTTAAAACACACGTCAGCCCCGGAAAGCCAGGACCAGTCACGGGAGTGACCCACCGTCACAGGCCAGGCTCCGGTGTCACGGCAAATGCGTGGCAGCTGTCATTTAGTACAAGATCAATACTGCATCGTGGTCGGGCAGGTGCCAGGGAGGAGACCCCGCCTTCGGACGGGCAGGGCCAGCAGAGCCGATCCCATCCGCCACAAGTGCTAGGCCCTGGCTCTCTTCCACGCTGCCTCTCCGCGAGCGTGTCTCCGTCTTCCGAGTGACGTGTGTTGATGCTAACGTTCTAGACAGCAGAGCCCGGCTCGGAGGGAGGGCCCAAGAAGCTGTCCTACGTGGAGGCAGAGAGCGAGCACTCGGCCCTGCTGGCGGCCATCCGGGGGCACCGCGGCGCCTGCAGCCTGCGCAAGGTGAGGGGAGAGGCCTGCCGGCCGCACGGGCAGGGCAGCGCGGCGTCTTCCCAGCCAAGGGGGCGCCGTCGCCGGCTGGCCCACCCGCCACCGCCCACACTGGCGCAGCAGAGGGAAGCAGGAGCACCCAGAAAGCCCCGCTCCCTCTCCCGCCTGCCTGCCCGGCCCTGAGCATTCTCCACATTCCTGGAGGGGCCCCAGAGTGGCGTCAGGGTGTGAGCAGCCCGGGCCCCAGGAAGAGCGTGGCGGGCGCCCTACGCACCGAGGGGCGGGGAGGGTCCTCCCCCACCGTCGGTCAGGTCGGGGTGCAGCCTCGGGCCCGTCACATGCCAAGACAGCAGATCAGGCGGTCCCAGGGGGCAGGACCGCCACCCTGCTGCCTGCCCTTGGTCACTCGCTGTGCGGGGAACTGGGGCAGGGAGCAGACACGCCTCCTGGCCCCGGCTCGGGGCAGGGCCACGTGCTGCCCTCAGAGAGGCCCCTCGGGACGTGGTCACTTAGCCGTCTCTTTGCCAGGTGGCATCCTGTGCCTCTGAGGAGCTCCGGAGCTTCCGTGAGGCCGCCAGCTCCGCGCACCGGTCGGAAGCCCCAGGGCTGGACACCCTCGCCAGCCAGCCCCCGCCCGCGCTGCCGCCCCCGTCCCCACCAGCCGCCCCGGCTCCCGCCGCACCCAGGACGGCCGCCAGGTCCAGCTCCAGCTCCGGCCCTCTCCGCGACCCCGTGGACGCCAGGCAGGCCTTGATGGACGCCATCCGCTCCGGCACGGGGGCCGCCAGGCTGAGAAAGGTGAGGGGGCCATGGGCATTACGGGGCGTGAGGGGCGTGGAGAAGAGCCACCCCCTGCAGGCGGAGCCGCAGGCCCGGGGACGGCAGCGGGGCAGGGCGGGAGGGGCGGCCACACCGCGTGCTGCGCCACAGCGGCCAGAGGGGCGAGCACGCCCTCGCCCGGCGGGCAGTCAGCCTGACCAGCTCCTGGGGGCACGGGAGGGCGCGCCATGCCCCGAGCCCAAGCCCGTCCACTGCCCACCACCCGGGGGCGGGGACAGGCTGCACAGGAACCGAAGATGCGCCCCTCAGCCCGCCGGGAGGCCGCCGCGTGGTCTCTCCCGTTCCTTCCTCTCCTAGCGTAACACTCGCCAACGGCTGGCCTCCCGTCCCGGGGCCGAGCGCTCACACCACGGGGTCCGGCGCTGGCTGCTCGCCCACCGGGTCCCAGAGGGAAAGCGGTGGAATGTGTGGCCCTGGCAAAGGGGTCCCCAAATCATAAGGGCACTGGGCGCGGGCCTGCTGAGACCTGTCCCAGCTCAGAATGAGCCTCTACCTGCGCGGACCCTCCTCCCCACCCATTTCTAGCAGCTGCGGGGACAGAGGCTACTAGTAACAGGGCTGCCGGTCGGCGCCACTTTCTGCTTGTTGCCAGATGCTAGGCGTCTGCTGTCACACGCCCCTGAAGGGGTAGCTGCAGAGAATGTCACCCTCACTTCCCATAAAAGTGAGCAGGCTCGGAGGAATGAGGACTTGAGAGGGGTCGGGGGCACAGAAAGTACCTGGAAGCAGGTCGTCACTCTGCCGTGTTCTCTGTGGGGGCGGGCAGCCCGCCGGACGGAGGCCGCTGTCCCACAGGCCCCACCAGAAAGTCCCCCGCTCCCCACTCGGGAGCCAGAGGCCACAGAGGGGAGGGAGGAGGCCCCCGTCCCTGCAGGCAGACCTCGCCGAAGCGGGGGTGCCCTGGCTCTCCCTGCGCGGGGACAGCCCAAATGCCCTCGCCCAGGGCTCCCCCAGCGCCGCTGTTGCAGTTCTGGGGCCCCCGAGCTTGTCTGCTCTGGCAGTTGAGCGTCCACAGCTGCGTTGGCCCTCGGTAGGACCCGAGACATCACATAGAGGGGGTGCTGGCCGTTGTCCCTGGAAGCTCGGCCCACCCCCGGGTCAGGATCCTGGGAGCAGAAAGAGCCCTGAACGGGATGGCGCGGGGCGGCAGACCCAACACTCTCCCTTTGCGGGGGCGCAGTTGCACATTACTGAGCCCTTCTGGGCTTTTTGATGGTTTTTTTAAAAATTTCTATTGATGAACTTAGGTAGTTATATCGCATAGAAGGAAAGAAAGTGAAGAAATCGGGGTGAATGATGAAATAGGGGTCCTAGAACATCGAGCCCGTGACTTCTGAAGGAGGCAGGCCTGAGTGGTCAATCCTGAGACCACCTCTCCGCCCAGCAGGGCGCCCAGTCGCACAGAAAGTGCCGACCCCACAAAAATGCGCGGAGTCCAGAGCCACGTGGGGGTGGTCACCTGACGGTCCACAGATCCCCGGGGACCTTTTCCTGTGTCTTCAACGCCGTTTCCCAAGGGAAATCCATGGGTCCTCTACATCGGGAGTCCGATTTGGGGGCAGTTGAGCCCACAAACACAAACCTGCAATTTTTGAGTCTTTACCCAACGACTTCCCATTCGGGTTTGTCACTGGAGCCTCGGGTAGCCTTTGAAGGACGCTGAACGTGGTCACATAAAGGCTGTGACCGCCCACTCCCTGTGCCCCTTGCTTACACACGCCACCCCGTTGAGGGACTTTTGATCTTTCTAAAGCAGGTGCTCTCTCCCCGGCAGGGGTCATCAGGCCCCCGGGACCCAGGGGCCAGAGGTTGGCCTCGGGCCGCACAGCCGGCACCGGCGACCAGAGGGACTCGCCGCCGCAGGCTGCCTCCGGTCTGAGAGTGCGCTCGGGGCCTTCCAGAAAGAGGGGAACGCGGCGGGGGATTGTGGACAAGAGCAGAGAGCGTTGTTCGTCTTTGAGAAAGAGAGTGGAGAGAGATGCAAGGGCAGCGGCCAGAGAAGGGCCAGATGACGCAGAAGGGGGTGCGGGGGTCCGGACACCAGGCGGGCGCAGGACACCTGGGCAAGAGGGGAGGCCCTGGTGGCCGTACAGTTGTGGCCGGGGGCCCGGGCCTGGCCGCCGGTCCCCTGGCCTCAGCTTGTGTCTGGCTGCTCCGCGTGGCGTTCAGAGGCCCGTGCATTCCCTGCTCCTCGGATTCGTCAGGGTGTGCGACCTGCCTCCCCGATCCTGCGCGCGGAGGCCTGGGCGGCGAAGGCTGGTGCCGCCCGCCCGAGGTCCTGGCGCCTGAGCCCTTCACAAGGCGCCCGGGGCTGGGACACCCACCCGGTGAGCAGCAGAGTGTGACACGGGACGCCAGGCCCTCCCGCCCCGATCACTGCTCTACCCCGGTGAGCCCCGCCGGCCCGGCACTGCCGGGCCCCCTGCTTCCTCTGCTGGTGCCACAGCCGGGCCGCGAGAGCATGCAGGGGGTTTGTTTCTGAGTTTCCCCCTTGGCCCTACGAGGAGGAGGATGGGACCGGCACAAAGAGCCAGTGTTGGCCCTGGCCGGTGGCTCAGTGGCTGGAGCATCATCCCATGCACCAAAAGGCTGCAGGTTCGATTCCTGTTCAGGGCGCGTACCTGGGTTGCACGTCCGATCCCTGGTCAGGGCACCTGCAGAGGACAACTGATCAATGTTCCTCTTTCAAATCAATGTGTCTCTCTCTAAAATCAATGACAACCTATCGTCCGGTGAGGATTAAAAAAGACTCAGCCTGTTGGCTGTAGGCAGGTCGGGCTGCGTGCCCCTCGGCGCCCGACGTCGGCGCCCCCGGCTTCCCGGCGGAGCCCGGGCGACTAACTGGGCTGTCTCTCCCCCGCAGGTGCCCTTGCTCGTGTGAGCCACCAGGAAGCCCGGACCGTGGCAGAAACGCACGCGCCAGACGCCCACCGTCCCCGGGCAAGGACGCCCCGAGGCGCGCTTCCTGCCCGCAGGCCAAAACCCGCGATGCTGGCTTCCGGTCCTGTTCACGGTTCCGAGGGAGGCGGCCGCTGCCCCGTGCGTGGCTCGTGTGCCAAGGAAATGTGTTATTCTGCCTCCGAATATTTAAAGTTGCCAATAAACGACTCTTGTTGGCAGGTCGCTGGGAGTACAGAGGCTGGAGCCCAGCACGACACTTTGCGACAGTGAAGGGCGCCGAGGCGCCCGCCCGGCCTCGGACCCGCCGCGGCCGCTGAGACTCGCGCCGTGTGCCCACGGCTGCGGCCGCCCCGCCCCTTAAAAGCGTTCCGTTCTGCGGGGGAAGACAGGAACGAATGGAGACAAGCGGAAGGCAGCACGCCGGGCGGGGGAGGGAGGCCGGGCGGGCGCGTGCTCCCCGAGGCAACTCCGCAGGGTCCGGAGGCGGCTTCTTCCTGAACGATCGATCGGGGTGGGAGCCTCGCGAGGGTGGCAGGCCAGCGAAGGGGGTCTGACCCGCTGAGGTTTTAAAAGCCAACGGCGACCACCCCGAAAAACTCCCCCACGCACGAGGTGAGGGGGCTGCGGGAGGGGGTGGCCTGAGCTCTGCAAAGGCACCGGCACTGAGACCCGCTGGCACTGGAGCCGGCGGGCGGCGCCCCACCGGACAGCTGTCCCCACGGGCGGCTGTGAAGCGGCATGGTCCTCCCCCGCCCCGGAGGATTGAGCCTGGAGCCCCCAGACCCTGCCCTCCTGCGCACCACCACCCTCCCGGGGGCCAGGAGCAGGGGTGCTGGGTGTCGCCAAAGTGGGCCTCAAATGGGCTACCTTTTCATGATTGGGGAAAAAAAGCCTTGGCACGTTTGCCCAGCAGGTCAGCGCTCTCCTGTACAGTGCGGCGGCCTCTCGCCGGGCCGGGCCCTCCCTCACGTCTCGGTGATGGGGTGTAGCCGCAGCGGTTTTTCACGTCTCCCCCAGACAGAGCTCTCGGAGAGACGAGGGGAGGTGGAGAGCAGTTGGCGGAACGCAGCCTCCGTCCCGCGACGCCACCCGTGTGGCAGGCGTGCTGGACGGGCCGGAGCGGTTCCGGAAGCACGGGCGCCGGGCTCCGCCGTATCTGGCGAACGTCCCTCATCCTCCCTGGGCGGTGGGAGCGCTGGCCAACGGCTCCTAATCCACAGTGTCTCCAAAACGTGTCCTTTCGTGCCACAAATAAAACACTACCATGGTAGCTGCGGTGTGAATGTCATGACTTCAGTGTGTTCGGACACCCTGTCCCCAAAAATGGCAGGAATTCATTTATTCAGCCTATAAACATGGACAGCATGGGGGGCAAAGTTGGGTGCACTCTTCCGTGGGTGAACCCCAAATCTGGCTCCCCCCTCCTCGCTCCCAGCGGACGGTAGAGCCAAGAAGGGCGTGTCCCCATTTCAGGACGTAGCAGCGCGAAGCATTTCCAGTGTCATCATAGACAGGAGGGGCCCATCCCTTGTTCCGGGACACAACACGTCGCAAGTCTCCCCACACGCGGTGCCTAGGGGCGGGAGGTCGGCAGGCCTGGGGACCGGGACGCGGGGCTCGCCTCTGGGGACTCCAGAGCGGGGACCTGGCTCCAGGACATACCGCAGCCCCCTCCTGTGACCCGGTATCAGGTCGGCATCCAGCAAGGGCTGCCCGTGCGCCGTGGGCGGGCTCACCTGTCCCGCTTCTCAGGGCGGCCCGGCGAGCCACGGGCCCTGCTGCCAGGAGAGCGGGACTTAGAGACCGGAGCTCACCAGTGCCCTTTGCTGGCGAGCGCCCCACTCAGAGCACGTCCTGGCCCAGGACAAGCCCAGGAGGGCTTGTGTGGAACTCCTTAGGGGACACAGCAGGGACCTGACACGGGAGGTGACCACCAGGGGCTCCTGGGCTCCGCAGTCCCACCGGGGCGGGGGCTCGGCTTCCCTGAGTGTGGTGACCCGGAGCCACGCCCCCTCTGCATGGAGGAGGGCCGGGAGCCCGGGGAGGGAGGCAGGCAGGCAGGCGCCTGGGCGTGCACCTGCCGCCACCACCCACCCCCAGGCAACGCAGCTGCAGGAAGACGGCCTGGGAAACAGGGATGACGCTCCCCTCACTGAGAAACATGGCGTGCCCTCGGGCCCTCCCCTGCCCCGCCCGGGTGCCCAGGGCCAGCGGGCGGCAGGACCGGGAGCCGCTACTTAGGGCGCCGCCCCCGCAGAGCTTTCGCGGCTACAGGCCTGGGGCGGGCGCGCCCCCTTCCCCAGCGGGTAGGGCTCACTTTCTCCCATTTCCTCGTGTTGACCAGGCTTTATCAAGCGAGTGCTAATTTGATCATTTAGAAAGTAGGCACGGGCAGTCCCTGTGTGTGACTCCGCGCCTGCCCGGGAGGGGACATGGCTCTTGGTCGGACGGTGTCCGCCTGCTCCCAGCTCCCGTGTCCCCGGTTCCCATGGTCAGAGCCGGCTCTCGACTCCAGCCGGGTTCCTGACACTCCGGCGTCTCCAGTGACTCCCCAGAGCACCGTGGGGTTCCTGTGGGTGCCTCCCCGAGAGGGGTGACCTTTCCGGCGTGATCCATCCCATAGGCACGGCTGTGTCAGCTTCAGGGATCTGCTGACTGAGAACAGTGGGACCCGTGCTCCTGCCCTCAGGCACGGCTCTGGTCTCGGCCCACAGGGCAGGTCCCAGGGAGGGGCCCGCGACAGGGCCGTGGGAACAGCCCCTGGGGTCAGAGAGCCGGTGGAGCCTGCCTCTGCCACACGTCCCCCCAGGCCACTTGATGGGGCCAGTGACGTCGCCCCGTAGTTTCCTCATCTACAACCTGGGCAAAAGCATAGCAAGGACGTTATAAGTAAAGGAACAGAAAAGGGCGAGGGACATGGATGCAACCCATAGGCTTCAGCCGCCCGGGGCAGCAGGCGAGGAGGGGAGAGAGGGAGCCCCGGAAAGGCAAATGAAACGTCCGCTCCCGTGCCTACCGTGGCGAAGGACACCGGAGCTCCTCAGAACACATCCACACAGCCGCGCCGTGCGGAAGCGGGCGGTGACCGACCACCAGCAAGTGCCCGGGTTCAGCGGTAACGCGTAGCCCCCCCAGCAGCGCAGGGCCCCCCGCGGAGCCGAGGGCAGGCTGGAGTCGCCCCCAGCACCCACACCCCTCGCAGTGGCCTCCACGCCGCTCGCCCCAAGAGGCAGCACAGTCCCCTGCGTCACCTTCGCAAACAACGCCCCCGGCCAAGAAAGAAGCCCGCAGTTGCTCCCGGTTTGCCTCGCCGTTAATACGCCTGTCTGGCTGCGAGGATAAGAAGTCTCATAATTTAATCATTGTGATTTAATAAGCTACTTTATTCGCAGCTCAGAAGCACCTGAAATGAGGCAACTAACTCCAAGGGAAGAAAGCTAAAGAAATTGGACAATATTGATGAGCCACCGACCGGTTGCACAGGGCCAGGACCCGGTAGCCATGTGGGGTTTCCAGGCACCCAGAGGGGACAGGCTGGAAGCTGCGGGCAGGGCAACTGAGGCAACAACAGCATCCAGTTAGTAACTGCGCAGCCTCATCACAGACTCGGGGACTCTAGGGGATTCTGGGGGGCGGAGGGAGAACAGGTCTTGAGCAAAATCAGACACGGGCGGGCCTGGCCGGAGCAGTAGCCTTCTTCTCCTTCAATTCAACCCCTCGGAGGCCACAGCTGGGGGCTGGGCGACAGGCTCCCAGGCCAGGGAGGCCGCAGCCACGGCCCCGCCCCAGCAGGAGCTCAGCCCCGTGGAGACAGGTAGGGCGAGTCACCGGGCGTGCAGAGTGCTGTGGGATCTTGAACAGATGTGCCAACTCCAGGCCAGGGTGGCAGGAAACCTCCCCGGAAGAGGTGACGTCCGAGTTGACAGCCGAGGACTGAGGAGGCAGCCAGGGGTTCCAGCAGAGAGAGAGTGTGTGCGAGGTGGAAGAAGTCCCGAGACCAGGCCTCAGAGGAAGTCAATGGGATGTTGGCGGCCACAGGCGTGGTCTGCATCCGGGAAGCAGCAGGTGAGCCTCGGCGGGCGGGGTGGGGGGGGAGGGGAAGAGTCTTTAAGGAGAAAGTAACAAGATCCGTGCAGGGAGGTCACGCTGACTGCAGAATGGCAGCCGGCTCCACGGCGCGCGTCGGGGAGGTGAAGCCCGGTAGCAGGTGAGCACCAGCCGGGAGGTGGGGGAGGGGCGGCGACCGGCAGTTTGCCTGGGGGAGGCGAAGAGGGCTTTCCCGGGCGCCCCCAGCCCTGGCTCACGCAGGGAGTTCGGGGAAGTGTACGAAGCGCAAAGCAGGGACCAGGTCACCGAGAGGTCCCCGCCAAGGGAGCGAGCATCAGGCCCCAAAGATGTGGTGAATAAAAGGGGTTGGACGGAGGAACACGAGGGGCACAAGGGCAGGCAGCGCCCGCGCTGAGTTGAGAACCGGCCACAAGGACAGGGCCGTGCAGCCTGCCCTGTGGCCGGTTCTCAACTCTGCGCGGGCGTGGCAGGGGCGTGGCGAGGGCGTGGCGAGGGCGTGGCCAGCGCGCACCTGTGCGTTTCCGGAGCCCAGCCGAGCCCCGTGGCCGCGTGCGCCAGAAGGCCCGGGGGAAAGCGCCAGGACACGAAAGGGAGCAGGTGTTTGACACCCCAAAATGCGCCTCTTTGGGGTGCTAACTCTCTGAAGTGGGTTATTTTTAAGAAACAGCTCAGGACAAAGCTTCCTCTTATCCGTCACTGCCTAAAAGAATTCAGACAGGAGACCAGCTCCAGGGAGGACGCTGTCCTCGTGGGTAACGGAGGTCGAGCATGAACCCGGGGGGACAGACGGGGTTGCGGGGGGTGCCCAGCAAGGTCCCTGCGAACCAAGTCGGCTCTGTGCCCCACTGTGGGAGACGCCCCGGCAAACACTTCTTTCCCAAACATGTGCTTTCCTCTCTCCGTGTGAACTGCCTGCCTGCGCTTCCCGGTCACAAACCACACCCCTCCCGCCTTAGCTTGGGAAAGCGCGCGATCCTCAGCAGCCCGAAGCGCGTCCTTGGGTCCCGTGCGCACACGCAAGCCCCGTGTGTACACATGTCATGAAGTTGGTCCCTTTCCCCCGAGAATCTGTCTCCTGTGGATTCGGTCACCGCTCCAGCTCAGAACCATAAAAAGCCTGGTGAGCTGTATCGGCCACCGAGATGCAGCAGAGCTGGCAGGCGGCCAGGAGCAGCCGGTCTCCAGAGACGAGAAAGCGGATGCATGGGGCCACCGGCGCCCGGGGTGGCTCTGGGTCTCATGGGGCCAGGACAGAAGTCAGGGTCCAGGCTCATACCTGCTGGGGGGTTCACCAGGGATCCCCACAATGAGGTGGTGCTCCTAACAGCAC